TCACCGAAGTGGTAAACGTCTGAGACCTGCATCACTTCGGGCCTACCTCCCACATTAAGCTGACACGCCGTGATATAACTGAAATACTGTTAAAAGCGGCGTTAAACCCAACTCACTCACTCATGCATGCTTTGTTAAACCCTATACCACTCCCCAAACCTGACTCACATTATACATGTGTAGTCATTCTGCTACTATCGCTATAGGTTTACTAGTTTTACATTTAACCTGGCCAACACAAACATTCAAACCAGTAGTTTGGGCTAAAGTCTTTAATTATGTTAACACGCTGTCATAGTAAATCAAGAATTTTAATATCAAGACTAATTTTTGTTAAATTATCGATTGTTGTTGGCATTGCGTGTCTTCTATGTATCAATATATGTCACGTTATCCCAGTTACTCTGTAGTCAGGAAATGTATCCCCGAAACAGTATAATCGCGGTATTTTGTTCTTATTAATTATACAAGACAAGATAACAGCAACTTAAAATAGCCCACGTATTATTTATACATACCTGATTATAAACCAAAGATAACAATAGAACGAAACGTGACTATTTTTTCATGATTTTTTTAAATAAAAGTTTTTTCATAGATGATAAGCTGTGGGCGTATAAACAGGTTGTGATGGCCGTTGTAATTTATACAGCATGACGCCCGGCAAGAGTTTATGCCGAGCCATGCTCGGACAATGTTACACTCGGATCGCAGGTCAACACGACAGCCCATTTATTAAGCTCGACAGTAATTAATTAACGTATTGTTAGGCCAGACCAAAAATACCTGTGTTTCCAGTAACACTATCGAACTGAAGTTTTCCTTGCAATCCTGAGAATTCTTCCATGTCTGTAGTTAGGCGTCAAGGATACTGATGAAATATATTAAAAGTCGGAATCGCGGGTCGCGTTTGGTACTGAGTAGGAACCGGGTACCCACAGGACTACCCAGATCCGTGGTTAGTCAAGTGATATATTGTTTAATGCCAAAAATTATCAAGAACTATATGGTTACGTTACAAGTCACTAATTTTAGCATTTCTCTCTGACTATGCACCCATGTCTTCTTAATTTCATGTGGTTGTATGAAGATATAACTTAAGTCAACTTCAGTGTATGCATGACCAGTTTGTTTTGCCAGGGCTATCTAACATTTTGTACCTGTCTTTTGAGACCTAAAGTGTGTATCCGGGTTGGGTCGGGTAATAGGGGGGTGGGTACCCGGGTAGTAAATTTGACTCGTCCCGGCCCAACTCTAATAACAATCTTTATATTAATATCAATAACTCAACAATAACTTCGGAAACTCATGTGGGTAGAACAGGTCTTCAGCAACCCATGCTTTCCGTAAAAGGCGACTATGCTTGTCGTAAGAGGCGAGTAACGGGTTCGGGTGATCAGGCTCGCTGACTTGGTTGATGCATGTCATCGTATCCCAACTGCGTGGATCGATGCTCATGATGTCAATCACTGGATTGTCTGGTCCAGACTTGATTATTTACAGACCGCCGTCATATAGCTGGAATATTGCTGAGTGTGGCGTTAAACAATAAACTAACAAACAATGTATCCATGCATTCTACATCGTCAGCATCATCATACTGACAACGGAACACTGATTGCATGGGCATCATGTTTACAAGATTGCGTCGCGGGGTCACACGGGTCATATATACTATCGCGTCTGTGGGGGAAATTAATGAAGACATTGATGGACATTGAGAAGTTGGCAGAACGGCACGACATGACAGATTATGTATGGTAGCATGTGTGTTAATTCTCGACATCCTGTCGTCCAAGGAGACACAATTAGCTGTTCAGAGTTGTGTCCCTTAGCAGTGCCAAGATCGGATGATCATGGTTTCCAATCTCAATATTTTTTAAAGAATTGTTTGGCCCCTCTTTCAGAGAACAACATGTATGTCTTGAAGCACTGACTAAAAAAGATATCAAATCAAACGAGGTGATAACGTGTGCCTGGGCTATGGGTGTCGTTGTATTCTCAGATTGTAAATCTGTTGATCATGCTGCGTGGCGTTTGTTTGTTTGTTTGTTTGTTTGTTTGTTTGTTGTTTAAGGCCGCACTCCGCAATATTCCATCTATATATCGCAGCGATCTATAAATAATCGAGTCTGGGCCATCTATGGTTTGATTAATCACAACTAGAATAATGGCCGAACGCTTTATACGTTATATATGGTATAACATACACTCACTCTCTATCGATCAGAAGCTCCGAGAAGTGAGTTTCGATGATTTTCATGTGAATATATAAAAACATCCCGCAGGGAATATACTGACATTATTTAAACTGACAATAAACTTCAGGCAAAAGACAGGATACAACCATGGTGGCTGAAAATGAAACGAACAAGAAATGGTTATTCGATGGTGATGTATTTGTATAGGGTATCACAGTTGTGTTTTGGACCTACGTTTGCAGTGTTATGGTGTGTGTGCTGAAAAGGTTTCTAATATTTGCAATCTTTCATAAGGAAGAGTATTTAAGAATTTATGGAAGGCAACTTCTTAATTAAGAGGAAATCATGATTTTCCTCATAATAAAGAAGGTGACACCCAAAAAAAATGTCTTCCTTAAATGGTGAGACCTTCTCTCTCTCTCTCTCTCTCTCTCTCTCTCTCTCTCTCTCTCTCTCTCTCTCTCTCTCTCTCTCTCTCTCTCTCTCTCTCTCTCTCTCTCCCCTTTTACGACCTATTCTACCCCGGATCTTCACGGGTGTCATTTGAATATAAACTCAATCCACAGCACATTACACAGCTGACTTAAACAATATTAATACACAGCGCATACTTCACGAACCAATAATTGACCATCCTTTCATGAAGAACTGCCATGCAATTCTGAATAAATATAACGCATTACATAATGGATGCTGCGCATATTGTTCGAAACTGAAGGCAGCTCAAAAAACAATAACAAACACTATTTCATTATCATTGACAGGTTGTTTTGCCCAGGGTCGATCTCAGTATTAAATGAAATGTATAAACATGCCTGCTGTCTCCGACCAATCCGTTACCATGACAGTGTGTGCGTGTCTGTAACTAACACAGAATAGACACTGACAATTATATTGAACGTTATTACAGTTTATATTTAATATCTAACTGGTTCTACATGAACAGTGTATGAAACTCATGTCCCGCCTCTACATCACTGTTGACGATGCAAATGTCATTGTTGACGTAATACAGACAGCACCGTGATTGATGTTTAATGACGTCACAATAGCAATGACATCAAAAGACATGATTGTATATGTCATGAGGACCGTGTTAGCCTGTCCATGTGGTGATGACTAAGAGAGTGGTATGTGTGAATATTCTGAATCGTGGCCAAGCTCACATATATCCCCCGGGAACACCAGCTGAATCATACCGAGGCCTTGTTTTATTCGGAAAATGTACATAAAAATGGTCTGTCGAGCCCATGCATCATGAAGGTAGATGCGAGTTTGGGAATGTTGTTTTTTTTGGTTGTTTTTTTTTACGCCACACTCAGCAATATTCCAGCTATATGACAGCGGTCTGTAAATAATCGAGTCTGGACCAGACAATCCAGTGATTTACATCATGAACATCGATCCACGCAACTGTGATCGATGACATGCATCAACTAAGTCAGCGAGCCTGACCACCCGATCCCCTTAGTCGCCTTTTACGACAAGCATGGGTTGCTGAAGACCTTCACGGGTCTTTGGGAATGTCATTAATACAGTGAGTGAGTGAGTGAGTGAGTGAGGGCTTGCGTGCGTGCGTGCGTGCGTGTTTACCACTTTGGTAAAACCAACGACAGACGTGGTGCTGACGAACCTTGAAACATGATCGAGGTGAACCGGGATTCGAACCACAATCATAGGCTTCTGACGTGTCCAAGGGTCGCAACTCTTCACAGCGAATTTGCACTGTAAATATTTAGCTCATAGGTTTTGCAGTCCGAGGATGTTAATCACATACTAGTATTTCATGGCCTCCTCAACTTGGGACCGTGGTAATTCCGAGTTACAGTTGGTCTCCAGGTCGTATCCTGGTCGTAAGAGGCGACCAAATGGATCGGGTGGTCGGACGCTACGGCTCGGTTGATTGCGTGTTATCATACGCCGACAGCGTGGATCGATGCTCATTATATCAATCACTGCTTTGTCTGGTCAGGACTCGAATATTTACAGGCAATTCAACAACAAATAACACAATTCACTGATTGAGTGAGTGAGTATGGTTTTACGCCGCCTTTTAGCTATATTGCAGCAATATCACGGCAGTGGACACCAGAAATGAACTTCAGGCAGTGTACCCATGTGGGAATCGAATCCGGGCCTTCGGCGTGACGAGCGAACGCTGTAACCACTTTACTACCCCAACGACCCTCTAAACTTTAGTTTATTAGAATGACATCGGTTACACAGAATTGTAAGCCCTTACTTCTGTTCTTTATAGACTGAAAACGTAATCTATATTTTTTCTGTATATATTCATGTAATTCAAACATTAGTTGTTTTTTCAGTTGGAACGAAAATAACGGTTAAACGTGTATATATGTTTTGTTAATTTATTCAGCAAAAATAATGATTATCGTGTTTACAATTTCTATAGGTAGCTATTTATGTTATTTACACAATAATTGGTTTTATGTTTTACGTCTAATATCACGCGATCAGTTCTCACAGTCGGTGCATTTTCCCAAAGACGTATATACATACAGCTTTACGTCTTTGATTTGCCCGAAACCAACCACACCATCATACAAATCTGCGATAGAGATTGAGACGAATACATTTTTAATGATTTCTTTAAAATCCTTTGTAATCGGCATTGCGTAGACAATACAAATTCTTGGAAAGAAACATTAGTCACCAGAACCTATATCACATTATACGTCATCTATGTCAGAATGGCAGCAGGTCAGAACGTTCACTCCATACATCTGATAAGGCCCCGAGCTTATCAGCACGTATATCCGCTTGAAAATCGCAGATAACATTCTCTGTTATCTAAAACAAAGGCACGTTAAGGTGTGCCATGTATTTCACAAGCGCGCACTGAAAATCCGGGCGGCATTATTGACCAGAAAGTAGCAGTTTTATGTCCGTTCAACGTTTTATGAAATCGGATCGTTCTCGACGTAATTAGGTTAGAAAGGAACAGGTGGTGAAGCCACGCCCCCATTCATTCACCGGGCAGATCTCGTGCATCTCTGCCGTGTCGACTGTCGTGGTCAGACAGACTCTCCGGAGCAGACGACACAACCTTTGTATCAGTCAATCATACGGGTAACATTTACAAGTCCCACAGGCAGCAGAAGCAGGTATCGGACCATTCAGGGACCAAGGAGACGGTTTAAAAGCTGAATTGTCAGCAATCACACTGGCATTGTCAATAGAAAGCAGCCTGAGATTGCAGAGCGGAGGTGACTCACGTTACATTGGATAATATTCAAATTGCGGGAGATTATTGAGAGCGGATTCACCATGTGTTGGTCTACCCAGAAGGGATGTGTTGTGATTGTTTTCTTAAGTTTCTTGGCGACGTGTGTGATGGCGGCAACAACTGCAGCACCAAATACAGGTAAGAACGTCAATGGATCTTCAGCAAAATCTGCTGTTGATACTAACACAACTGGACTTATATGTCGGTAATTATTCGTTTTCCGACTAACAAACCAAATAATAATTGAACACACCCCAGTGTTCTACCAACACCAGCGCTAACAGTAAGGTCACACCCCCAGCTCAGCAACGGTGTTAATAAGCACGTGCAAGTCATGTTTCCTGACTTCTGTCAATTACACCAGGTCGTCTCTTCAAACCTTTTCTTTCAAGCGCAGTCAAATGGCATTATTGTGACAGTTTCGTATTAGGTGACGTGATGTCCTTTCTCAATGTTCTGTTGATGTCCTAGGCAACGGTTTCAGAATGAAAACGTCTGTGTTTATTGATGTCTCATGCGTAATATCCATTGCAGTGTTTATCAAGGTAACCAGATAAGGAAAACATTGAACATTTTGTTCTATTTCTTTCTACACCTGAAATATTTATGACAAAGAACAAGTAAAATATATTGATAATTATGAAAATATGAATGATCTATATATTTGTTTTTATCACATTTAGATCATATGCAATTGGATATCTTCAACTGAGTATGAGATGCCCTGAAATTGTAAGATTTAAAACTTCCAACTAATACTGCTGCTTCTAAATGTTTGTTTGTTTGTCATGTTTAACTCAGCAATATTCCAGCTCTATGACTGCAGTCTGTAAATAATCGATTCTTGATCAGACAATCCAGTGATTGATATCATGAGCATCAATCCAGGCAATTGGGATACGGTGACATGGTTCAACCAAGTCAGCGAGCCTGACCCCCTGATCCTGTTAGTCGCCTTTTACGACAAGCATAGTCGCCAAATGTCATTTCTGGGCAATAATCACAGTTAAGTTCTAAATTAAATTCTCAGTTTGAAACATCACATTAACTTTATCTACACCTACAGCAGGTTGTGGAGCAAGTCCATCTTTAAGGGGCATTTGTTGTCACCATTAGCTTGCTTTGCTGTTTTTTAACTTTTTCATTTTGCATTAATACTGTTCCTGTTAAATATTATTCTTTTCCCTGTCCTAAATTGGAAAAACTGTGCAATTGTATCATATCTTGTCTACCATATTCATACTGCTGGATTAATATTCAGCAGAACGTCCTGCTCCAGTTGACTGTTCTACATTGAGAACACCAGGTGGGTTAAGTCAACCATTGTATGACTTCATAGCATTCCAAAGTGATGTCAAGCATTTCCCATGGCTATTCATGAGTTCATGTTAGCAGAGAGCATGCTTCATTAAATGACTGGTAACATTTCATATTTACATGTTCTTAAACAGATGTGTTTTCAAATTTATGGAGTTATCGAGAATTTGAAACCTAGATTTTTTGGATCAGATGGCATTAGAAAGAGCTCACATTTGGTAGAATTTATGTGCATATATATCTTCTAATTGAATGCACATAGGAAATGAAGAATGTATTCTAAACAAAAAAGTTAGGGATCGTTAATGTTTAAGGGATGTTTTAAAGAAATTGTGTGCTCAGTGTTCACCACAAAATAAAATCCCCCAAAATATTCATGATCGCTATCTTTTTTTGTTCAGTAGATCAAGTTAATGTATTTTCATCTCTTCACAAGTCTAGTTCTTACAAAAAGTGTCTGTATAATTGCAATGCATGTGGACAAAGATTTAAAGTTGGAACTTTACTGTTGGAACCAATTTGTGTACTTGGGACAACCAGTATCATGAGGTTAAATAGTACATTTAGTACATTGTTAAATTCATGTAGCTTCTCTCAGATTGGTGTTTCTACTTTTAGACTTCACAAACTGTAGCAAGTTTCTAATGGGTGTGACATGTTTGCTTGTCCTGATTCCAGAACACAAATTTAATTAATTTTGTCAAGTGTGTCAAGTATCCCCAAGTGTGAATATTGAGATTCTGCAGCTGTTCATGGGAAAGATGTCTGATATTGAAGGGTTGAACAAGAAGGTAAACAAGTTGAGTTTAGCGGATAATATAGTTACATATTGCTTGTTAGATCAGCCCTGTTGTTTTCATGAAACTTAAGGGTTAAAATGGTTAAAGTGTTGGTTGTCAGGCCTAAATCTGGGTTCAATATCCCCTCTTTCGTCCAATGTGTGAAGCCTATTTCTCGTGTCCCTATTATAATGTTGCTGGAATTTTACTAAAAGTGGTGGAATTTACCATACTCACTCACTCACTCACTCACTCACTCATGTAGCTTTGAAGTTGATAAGGACAGAATCATTTTTTTCTTGACTTTTTGGATGAACATACTTTTGGAAAAAAATATAAAGAAAAATTCTGTGACTGTTTTTCTATTATTAACTATTATTTCATTAGGCTCTTGTGAGACTTAACCTCAATTCAATATTGGCAACATCTACCTGGCAAACGTATCCAGCCCAAAGAATAATAATATTAAATCAAATTAAGTTTTATTCTAAATTAATGTTTCACCCCAAATAATTATTGTGACTGATTTAGTCCTGATTGCCATGATCACTTATAGTGACAAAGTCATGCAAATAGAATGATATCCTGTACAAGCGAACAATGAACGAAAAGATAAGGAATGCGCATAACAACAAGTCCCGAAGACTGAACTAGGAAGAACTACGATGTTGATTGTGGCAAGCTTGGCCTTTATGCAAGGCTAATCATTAAGGTAGTGATTTCATGTGTCAAACTGGGAAGTGGTACACAGTATTCTCAGACTGACTAATGTGTCTACAATACAGATGGTGATGTGGTAGTCGAGGTGAGCTTGACTTACAACAGTAGACAGCCAGGTTACTTTTAGGATGTTCTTAGCACTGACATGGGCATATAATTACCAAGAAACCTCCGACAAATCACTGAATTTCTTGCTTCATAAGGTGTAATATCAGATTTGTAAGGATTAAAACTTTTTATGTTCGAGTAGTTTCTTTTAAGACACCTAATTACAAAATATGGCCATTCACTGTAGGCAGATACCAGACATTAAACAAAAGGGCAGTCCCAGCAGGGTTGTTTCCTAAAATAGATTCACCAGAGTATGTTGTGAAAAGAATTTGTGTCTACAAAAGAAGAATTATAGGTATAATTACAGCAAGCACCCAGTCTATGAGAAGAGATTCATTTCTGCATGACACATTCAAAAGAGAAACCAGGGTTTCGAAACCCTTATATTCCAAACTTGTATTACATTGTCAATGGCACAGTTAAAATTGTAATGGCATGGTTAAAATACATTTCTGGTGCCTGAATATGACATTCCCTATCTTGACTTGTACCATATGCCCGTGTATTTTAAAAGGACAATTGCCTTGCCTTTGCATGTGTTTGTTATGGGTCCCACAGGTGGGGCAGGTTACATTCACCTTTTTCGAGAACACCAGAATCATCACTATTTGATAGTGATTCATAGGCACATGCTCATGATATAGTTGGAATCGTATAATAGATTCCGTTTTTAGCAGAGATTTCTTATGATCATTGAAAATATTTTTTCACTTACATAAAAAATCATATATGTTCTTTTATCAAAAATGTTTATTATTTGGAGTCAGTGATAAATATACTTTCACAAGAGTAAACTAGACCATCACATAGAAAATAAACATATTAAATTGATAAATAATCTGGGTTTTGAATATCAAATAATTGATATGGTATTGTCAATTTCAATGAATAGGAAGGGGCAAACAAGTTCTTGGTGATATGATATTTATTGAGTTTATAGATGGATTAGAAGTATTGTGTTTGTTGGTAACTCCTAACACCAAGGGGCACATCCTAGTATTGTTAAGATGAATGAATGGCTCACTTGAAAGAAAGCACATCTGTATCCTGGGAAACATGTTCTCTGTCATGACACATTGTGTGCATGGATGAAGCTTCTCTTCATCAGAATATGCTAACACATTTAGAGTTATTGGAAAACTGAAAAACATGAAAATATATTCAAGCATAATCATGCTTTTGTATATTGTATACGACAGCATGTATAACAATATATCTACACATTTGAAAAGGAATAATGCTTGGACTGGCATCCCTGTTCTGATAAATATATTGATATATAGTACATGGATATATAACATAATATACTGCATAAATTACTGCATATATACCCAAGGCCTATTGCAACATATTCATCAGAGTATGTTACAACATTCATCAGAGCATGTTGCAACATTCATCAGGGCATGTTTCAACATTCATCAGAGCATGTTTCAACATTCATCAGGGCATGTTTCAACATTCATCAGAGCATGTTGCAACATTCATCAGGGCATGTTTCAACATTCATCAGGGCATGTTTCAACATTTATCAGAGCATGTTGCAACATTCATCAGAGCATGTTTCAACATTCATCAGAGCACAGAGATCCAGATAAGCTGCGTATCTGCGTAAAATACGCATCAGAAATGCAGAAATATGCAGTAAAATAAAATCCAAGCGTATCAAATACTCAACGAACATTACAGATATGCTACAAACTTGTGCGTATCATTAAAATATTGTGAAGTAACCCTGCGTATTCGAATAGCAAATCAGCAACTAATTTTGAAATTATAAACGGGCATTCCGTCAACCTTACCAAACTCCATGATGACAGTTACATCATGATCATTTGCCATCACACTTTCTTGTGGAAGTATCGTGGTATTTTTGAGTCCTATAAAGCTCTCGAACCCACACGACACCAGTTTGCAGGGACTAGATGAATAGTGTTTTTAAATATTTAACTTAAATACCCACATGTGTAAAAACTAGTGGGTAACAGAAATTTGAATACCCAGATAGAATAGCTGATACGCAGTGATTTTAAAATGCATGGGTAAAATACCCACAACACCAAAAGCTTATCTGGAGCTCTGGAGCATGTTGCAAAATTCATCAGAGCATGTTGCAACATTCATCAGAGCATGTTACAACATTCATCAGAGCATGTTGCAACATTCACCAGAGCATGTTACAACATTCATCAGAGCATGTTACAACATTCA